TTATTCCTTTTATTTCTTTCTCTTGTCTAATTGCTGTGGCTAATATTTCCAAAACTATATTGAATAGGAGTGGTGATAGTGGACATCCTTGTCTTATGCCTGATTTTAGTGTGAAGGATTTCAGTTTTTGATCATTTAGTATGATATTTGCTGTTGGTTTTTCATGGATAGCTTCTAAAGGATTGAGGTAGAGACCATCTATTCCTATTATTTGTAGGGTTTTTATCATAAATGCATGTTGGATTTTCTCAAATGCTTTTTCTGCATCTATGGAGATGATCATATGGTTTTTGTCCTTGGCTCTATTGATATAGTGTATTACATTGATTGATTGTTTATGTTGAACAAACTGTGCATGCCTGGGATGAATCCCATTTGGTCATCTTCTTGATGATCTTCTGCATTCTACTTGCCAGTATCTTACTAAGGATTTTTGCATCTATGCTCATTAGTGAGATTGGCCTATAGTTCTCTTTATCAGTTGTGTCTTTCTTTGCTTTGGGGCTCAAGGTGATGTTTGCTTCCAGGAATGAATTTGGGAATATTGCTTCCCTTTCAAATTCATTGAAGAGTTTAAACAGTAGTGGCAGTAGTTCCTCTCTAAATATCTTGTAGAATTTGGCAGTGAAGCCATCAGGATGCGGGCTTTTCTTAATTCATAAGTTTTTAATTACATTTTCAATTTCATTGGTTGATATTGGGTTGTTTAGAATTTTTAGGTCTTCCTTATTCAACTTTGGTAATTCATACTTATCTAGGAATCTGTCCATTTCTTCTGTGTTTTCCATCTTATTGGTGTATAGGTTCTTGAAGTAAGTATTGATGATCCTCTGGATTTCTTCTGGGTCCATTGTAATTTCATCCTTTTCATTCCTAATTGCATGGATTTGGGCTTTTTCTTTTCTTTTTCTGATAAGTTTGGCTAAGGGTTTTCAATATTGTTTATTCTTTTGAACAAACAACTCTTGGCTTCATTGATTTTTTGTATTGTTCTCTTAGCCTCCATTGCATTGATTTCTCCTCTGATCTTTATAATTTCCTCCCCTGTATGAGCTTTGGATTTGTCTTGCTCTTCTTTTTCTACAAGTTTGAGGTTCAGCATCAGGTTGTTTAATTGGGCTCGTTCTGTTTTCCTAATATGCGTATTCACTGCTATGAATTTCCCTCGTAAGACTGCTTTCATTGTGTCCCATAGATTCTGATATGTTGTATTGTTATT